ACACACACACACACACACACACACACACACACACACACACACACACACACACACTCACACGTGCAGCCAGGACTGAGCCACCACTAGCTTAAACACTGTATGACTGAAATTCTCAAATTATAATATGCATATTAATTACTTGAGGATCTTGTTAAAATAATGATTTTGATTCAAGAGCCTGTCTTGGTCCCAGGGTTCTGCATTTCAGACAGGCTTTTAAGTGATGCTGATGCTGCTGATCCAAAGCTCTCAATCAGATGCTTTCTAACAATTTTTAGAAGCTTTGGAGATGAAAACTCCGCAACCTTCTCTTGCACTGTTTCTCATAAATTATCACTCAGACCCTCCAACAACAACAACAAAAATTGAATTATTGTTAGTTAATTTAAGAATAATTTAAGCTTCAATTCTTTCCCTCTTTGAGGAATTATTATTATTTTTTAAATTAAAGGGCACACAGAGTAATAATTTCTAAAGGCTTATATATTCGGATAGAAGCCTTTAACCAGACATTCCAAGTTTATGTTTGCTCTCAGTCCACTCAACTGTTAACTCAATTTTATTGAACTATTATCAATCTATTTCTACCCAGGCATTCTCATGGAGTTCTTGATTCCACAGAATACCTCATCCAACAGGCAGACTTCATCATCCCTAGATGACCCCCGCCACCTCCTGTAAACGTGGAGGGTCTTGCCTCCAAGAAGCCCAGAGTAACAGGCAACATTGAATGAGAGATTTTTTTTTTTGTTTTTATTTTTTAGACAAATCTGGAAGCCATCTCAGGTTATGTATCTAAGCCTTTAATTGAGACCTCAGCTGGGAAAGCTCTACAGAAGAAAAGCTTCATTTATTTATAACTTAGGGGTTCATTATTTTTCTTCCTGGAAACATCTGTTTTTCGTTCTTCTCAGCCCATGTTGGACACAGGCCTGGAAGCAGCATCTGTAGAGTCAGGTTTTAGTTACATGGTTGGAGCTGTTATTACAAATTCAGCCATGGTCGCTTTCTAACAAAAATTATAAGGAATCTATTTGCAGGGCTGTATGTCAGGCACTGTGCTAACCACTTGATCAGCATTATCTTAACCTTACACGAAAATGTGACATGGGTTACTAGTATTTTCTATATTTTTCAAATGAGCATTTGAAACCTATCAAGGTTAAATAACTTGCTTATAAAACAGTAAGTGACAAGACATGAATTCAGAGAGAAGATCTAATACTTTTTAACTCCCAAAATTATGTTCTTAACTTCTCTGTTCTATGTTACCTGCCTCTAGCTAGTAAACATGCTGAAGTATGAAAAGGTCTGTGACAGACCTTTTTATATGAAATAACCAGCTTGACCATTTCTGTCATTGTTTTGGCATCTAGTAGGTGTAGACTGAAAGGAAGTAGTATTGCTTCTAAGCAATTATCCCTTATCTCTTCATTTAGGGTATTTTTCATCCTTTTTAACTTCATTTGGTCTGCTAGATAACACTAATAACAGTAATACAACAACATGTTTTGAATGTTTTTTTTTGTTAGTATGAGAAGTTGCCAAAAACAAGCAAACCAGACAATTAAATACATATTCCCTTCAGGGAAGAAACTTTACTAGGATGCATGTGTCTGAGAGAAAGACTCAGAGAGAGAGAGAGAGAGAGAGAGAGAGACAAGAGTCTTTCAAGAAACGCTTTTGCATGAACAAATTAAACCATGGTAAAATTCCATCATGGTGATATCCAAAGGATCAACTACATTCTTTTCTCAATGAATTATTGGAGGGATTTGAAGACTGTTTTTTTAAATCAGAGAGTTTGTGTTTTGTTTGTTTCTTTCTTTGAAATTTTTTTCCCTTAAACTGAGAACAATTTGGGTCATAGGATTAATGTTCTATTAGAGTGTAGCAGCTCTGAAAAAAATGAAGTATTTAGGCCCAAGAAGGATTCTCCTAGCTGAGAACTGGTCTCTTACACAGAACTGAGGACTTTCTCTTTGAGACCTGGTTGAAGAGCTTGTGTGCTAACTGAAGGGCAAAATGTAAGACACTAGCTATGTTAGGTTCTACACAGATGTGCAGCTAATTTTTTAGAGTGTTTCCTATTCATGAAGCTTTAAAAGAATAAAAAAATGAGGGATTTACTGTACTTGCTTAGTAATTTGATCCATGAAGGTGATTACTTTTAAAACTTCATTCTCATTTTCAAAACCTATCTTCTGCCATACACACACATACACACATATGTTTTCTATATCTTGATAACTGAGTATGATATAAAGGTGATTAATCTGGCCTGATATATATACATAAACACACATTCAGGGTAATGTGCCAATGATTTGATAAATCCGACAAAATCCATTCTATACCATATATTTACAAAAATAAACTAAAAGTGATTTGATATCTGACAAGATATGTTGCAAACCATATATTTAAGAAAGTAAACTGAACATGGGGTGGGGAACTTTATATTTTAAGCCTGCATTTTTTACAATTCACCGTGAACCACAGAAGTAACCAGTATCTACTAAGTACTGATAACAACAAAAATAGCGGCTATTGCAAGAGTTTACATGGCCCCTAAATTTGGAAAATATAATCATCTTGTGAATAGAGGGGTGGAACTTGAGGTAGGGGAAGAGGCAATACATGGGAATCCCAATCACCTTCCAAAAACAGCCTTAGTTTCCAGTCCAACTGTGGGGAGTTCCCTGACAGGTTTGGGAGCATAAAACTGAGACACAGGATATGATGTGGCTTTTTGATCAATCAAAATAGGCAATTACATTTCTGTGATTATAGTAAATTAGTCATTAGTATGTATTTCCCAGCTTAGGAAACTTTGCTATAATAAAGGGTGGTTTGAAGTCTACAACTATATTTTTCTTCATAGTACCAGGTTCTTAACAACCAAAGATAAATGAACCACCCTTGCCTTCAGTGCAAATGAGGGGGAAAAAATACACATACACACATCCTGGGGGAAGAAAAGGCAGCAAGACTGAGCTTTCCTTAGTAGTTCAATTGAGAAGGGAGAGGCAGTCTGGCGGTTTGTGGGAGTGAATCTAATTATCAATCTCTTACTTTCATTAATAGGTTGGAACAAGATAACTTCTCAAAGAAAGTAGACATTATGTTTGAATTCCTAGAAGATGTTCTGATGATTTAAGCATCACTTTCACAGAATTAGATTTTTATAAGTCCTTGATGATACTGGGAAGGTGGGCAGGAAGAAAATCAAATATAGAAAAGGCAAAAACAACTGGTGGAAGATGGTGTATTTATAGATGTAAATGAAGAGCATTCTGGAAAACTTGAGAGTTTATGTGAATATGTTTTAATCTCTGTCTGTGCATTTTAATTAGTATACTGGTCCTGAGGTGAGAATTTTCAATGTTTTATACACTCCTGTAAACCTGTTTTATGTTTACTTTCCACCAGTCTTCTGTGGGTGAAAGTTAACTTGAGTGTAGCTCAAGTGTTTCTTGACCAATGCCTTTGTTTTCTCAGCCTCACTAGCCAAAAATCTGATGATGACTATGAAGACTATGCTTCTAATAAAACATGGGTCTTGACTCCAAAAGTTCCTGAGGGTGATGTCACCGTCATCTTAAACAATCTACTGGAAGGCTATGATAATAAACTTCGACCTGATATAGGAGGTATGTTAAAGGCTTTTGTGGTGATGTGTAGATAGGAACACGTGCCTACCACGCTGGAGGCAAACATGAGCATATTTCCAAAGACAGAAAAATTTAAATGAAACTTTCCTTATAGTTCATGAAAACAAATTAACAAAAAGCATATAAATAGCATTCAGGCCTGGGGAAAACGTATTGATAAGCTCAACACGGAGAAATGTGATTTCTTTAAGCGAGGTTTGAGAGCTAAAAATTCAAATTTCCCTAACTACCCCCTACTGTAGAAGAAAAGTGACAGCCTGTTTATGTAGTAACAGCAAAAAAACAAGCAAAAAATGGTAAAGAAAGGATACATTAGTTACCTATTGTTGTGTAACCACAAAATCCAAGTAGCATAAAACATTAAGCATACTTTTAGCACTTCTTTGGCAGTGTTGTAACCTAGGCTGGGCCAGGCTGCTCATCTAGAGTAAGTTTTCTCTAAGTATCTCTCATACTACTCCTGGGACCAGCAGACTAGCTGTGAGTCTCCTTCTCATGATGATAACAAAGAGCAAGAGAGAAAGTAGAAACCCATAAAACTTCTTAATACCTGGACTTAGAACTGGCACACTGTCACTTCTGCCCATATATTATTGGCTAAAGCAGGTCACATGGGCAAGTTCAAAATCAAAAGGCCAGGAAATGCCCTGGATGAGGTCAAGGCAAGGATGTGTATGTGGGGAACAGTGAAGAATCCAATCCACTGCAGAGAGAGAGGGCAGAGCGCTTTCAAGGAAAATGAATAAAGATGAGACAAATGAGCTTGTTGAACTAAAGCCCAGAATGATATTATGAATTCCTGTTCAGTAAATGTTAAATGAAAATCGAGCACATGTATTTGGTCATGGATGTTGTACCATAGATTTTTTAATATCCATCCTCTCTGACAAATAGGTGTGTAATAGGTTTCCATATGGTTTCCTCATATTATTTGTTGAGTCACAACATCCAATAAGTCATTGAGGAAGATTGATTTTGTGTTGACTAGAGGTGTGTGAAGATAATGTGGTCATAAAAGGAATCAAGAGGGAGTAATGTTTCAAAAGCTATTCATATTTAGTTTTTGCTTTTTATATCTCCTTCAAGTTTCTAATGCGTATTTTTATCTGGATCACTAAGCAGTTATTTATCTACCTTAGTCATGTCAAGTTACAATGTCCAAATAGATTTTGGAGCTTGAAGGAAAACTGTTAAAATTTAAGATACTTGAAAGAAGGCTGAAGAAAGCTGAAAACAGAATCCTGATTCGTTCATTTATATACAATTTTAAAAGAATAATTCATTTCAAAACTCTACTATGTTTGTTTATTGCATTTACATCTTTGCAAACATTTTCTCTGAAAACAAAAGGACTCCTCAAATCACTAAATAGTGAATTAGTCATGGGCACCAAATTAGTTTTGAATAAATCACTTCTAATATATCTAAATGTTTCTATTTCTAGAACAACAAAGGCTAAAATATTAAAATATTTTATTTCTCCATCTGCACATATCTTTATGGTTCTCTTCACAGTGAAACCAACATTAATTCACACAGACATGTATGTGAATAGCATTGGTCCAGTGAACGCTATAAACATGGTAAGTTTTTTAATAGTTTGTCTGTTTTATTAACTTACTAGAGAGTAAATGTGCTAGCATGGAAATAGCAGAGGACATAACTCTCTTCTTCCCAGAAAATAATAGGTGCAAGACCTTGGAAAGGTCTGATAATTTAAAAAATATATTTTTTGCTCTCTTGTAATATGAAGATAATTAATTTTTAGTATTTGTTATCAGAATTAAATGTGAACATATACATTTGTTACAAAAATAAAATTTATATTTATAGATATGCTATACTCTTCCAATTGTACATCATCATGTACTTGGCAAACACTACCTGTTACAAAGTAAAATATAGTGCTCCACTACTTTTTATAACATTGATAGTGTGGGAGGGCATAATATGCTTCAAATTAGAAATATTTCATAGAAGAAATAGCACATCAGATATAATAATAAATGTACTTTGTTCTTGAATAACACTTCCTACCCAAATCTGAAATAAAAGTAAAATAGATTGGGATTAATATAATATCATAGCAGAAGACAAGACAATGTACCATACCATACCATACCGTACCGTACGGTACCATACCATACCATACCTAGTGATTCTATACCTTTAAAACAGTGCTTGCCAAGGTAGCAATAAGGACACTTTGTTGAGTCAGAGAGACAAACTTTAATTGCTCTCATTTGGAATGATAAGAAGTATATCACTAACCTCATACTCCATACAAATAAGTTTACTTGCTTAACCATTAAACAAATTCCAAAATGTTTATTCTAGAATTCTCAGAATCTTTAATATTCTGATGTGCGTTGTAAATATCTAAGAGGGAGAAAGTATCAGTAGATTACTTAAACTTAGAACTCTTTGTTTTAGGAATACTAGTCACCAGAAACTAAAAAAAAAAAAAAAATTCTATTTCCTGGGACATCACTAATCAGCCTGGAAAGGATTTTATAAAATAGATTTGCTTCTTATTACTTGTATATTGCAAATATGAAACTAAATTGTAAACAAAGGTGGCATGGCTTATGGCAAGCATACTCATTATATCGATTCCGACTTCTGGTGACCCTATATGACAGAGTAGAACTACCCCATAGGGTTTTCAGGGAGGGGATGCTGAATTTGAACTGCTGACCTTTTGGTTAGCAGGTGAGCTCTTAACCATTGGGCTACAGCAAGCATAAGCATAGTGAATTATAATGAGACATGGTGGCAGGTGCTGCAGGGAAAGAACACAGAACAATGAGAATGAGGCAGAAGAAGGAGATTCTAGTCTGATCCTGACTGGTCATGTATTTTTGGGCAAATAAGTAAGTAAATAACTTCCCTAATTTTTTGGGTTTTTTACCATAAAATGGTGGTGGTGAGTGAAGGGGACTGGACTAGGAAATGTGGAAGATCTCCGTCTCTGCAATTCTCTTATTCTAGGAAAGCTGAGCTTTTGTTTCCTTTTATTTTCTCATTTATAGTCATGATTAAAATCAAGTAATAAAATAACACTACGTATAATTAGGGTTAGTTAATTGAAATGCTATAAATAAGAAATAATTTAATCTGTTGTTTATTGTAATTATCATTTATCTCTTGTTTTTATTATTCACATAAGGTGGTTATTAAATGAGGTGTTGCAGGGAATGTGTTTAGCAGGAACACTAGCACAAAACAAGTCCTGGATGAACAACAACATCAACAAGAATAAAAATAGCAGTAAACTTTTTATTAACAACATGATGATGATAATGGTGATGATGGAGTTGAGAAGCAATGAAGCTTAGTGTTGTAGAGCTGGAGAGTTTATTTGGATTAATTTGTGATTTTTATAGATGAGGAGAATGAGGCTCAGAGACTAAAAGTGGTTTCCCCAAAGCAGACCTCTCAAAATAATAAACAAACTAGAACTCAATTGTTTTGATTCTAACTAATGGCTGTCTTTCATGCCATACCTACTTCTCTTTGATTAAGTCAAGCATGTTCTACTTTAGCTATAAACGGATGAGGGAAATTATTACACAATCATTTGTCATCATAGTATTTTAAGAACATACTCTGTGACAGAGATTAATGAAGTATTAGATATTATTTTAATTGATTAATTTAATATCATTTAGTGAAAAGAACAACAACAATAATAGTAAAAAAAAAAACATAGTTACCTTTTCTTGGGTGTTTACCATCTGCCAGGCATGAAGCAAAGTGCTTTATGTGTATTCCCCATTTCTATATTCAAATGACCTAACTAGAATCTCCATTTTATGATGAGGCAACTTAGTCTCCAGAGCTCTAGTTAAGGACTTTCTCGAGCGTTCTGGACTTTATTTCACTTTACTGCATTGATTCTGAACCTGGGAGATTTTGCTTCCCAGAGGACACATGACAATGTCTAGATCTATTTTTAGTTGTCATAACTTGGGTTAGGGAGTGCTACTGACATTTAGAGAGTAGAAACAAAGGATGTTGCTAGCCATCGCTCAAGGCACAGGACAGCAGCCCACAAAAAATAGTTCCAAACCCATTGCCGTCGAGTCAACTCCAACTCATAGGGACCGTATAGAAAAGAGTAGAACTGCCACATAGGGTTTCCAACGAGTGGCTGGTGGATTCCAACTGCCGACCTTTTTAGTTAGCAGCCGAGCTCTTAACCACTGCACCACCAAGTTTCCAAAAAAAATAAAAAAGATGTGGACCAAAATATCAAGAGTGCCAAAGTTGAGAAACTCTGCTCTATAGACACAGAAAGGAAATGATTGTATCAGAGCTATGATCTTCTGCCAAAGCTCATGGAGACAGGTCCATTTTTCTTTAGTTGTTCTGTAAAAGATAGATGAGTCAGTAGTCTCCACAGGAAAGCTCTTGCTTCTTTTTGGACTATTTAAAGCCAAATGAAGCTTTGCCTCATATTGGCAATGAGAAAAAAAGAATAAAAGTAAAATAGAAAAGAATTTTCTGAAATTCAGTCTTACTGTTCACAATGTTCTGTTTTGTCCTTTTCTTGAAAATAGGAGTACACGATTGATATATTTTTTGCCCAAACATGGTATGACAGACGTCTGAAATTTAACAGCACCATTAAAGTCCTCCGATTAAACAGCAACATGGTGGGGAAAATCTGGATTCCAGATACTTTCTTCAGAAACTCAAAAAAGGCTGATGCACATTGGATAACCACCCCCAATAGGATGCTGAGAATTTGGAATGACGGCCGAGTACTCTACACTCTAAGGTATTCTTTTGGAAAAGGAAAAGGAATAAAACAGGAATCAGCCTCACTTGCTTCAAACACACAAATTTCAAGCCCTCATCAGAGTTGGCATGTTCAATCAAAATAGCAAGTGACACTACAAAATTAGTTTTTCTTTCTCATTTCGATTTTTTTTTCAAAACACTCACCACTTGTTATTTTATGTGACTCATGTGAGAACTCTGTTTTCTCACAAGTGGCATGAAATTTCACCTACCTTTGCAAGACGGTCTGACCTTTTCATCAATTTTGGCTTTTGTGTGTGTGTGTGTCCTGCTTCTGTAAAATGTGGAAACTAAGACACAGTCAGTCATCCTTGGGACCACCAGTTGCTCTGCTTGTAAATGTCTCCTTTTCCAAGGAAATTACTAGAGAGGAATTTTTGATGTGGACATCTCCATACATCCTCTTTTTAGCTTCACAATTGCAATTACCTAGACTGAATTGCCTTCCAACCCCCAGCACCTTACCCTTCCTTACACTGACAGGCTGTTTGACTTAACTTACTGGCTATTTTGGGAATGGTCATCTTTTGAAAAAAACTTGAAGGAACTGTCTTTTATCTTCTGATCTAAATATTAGACCACATTTGGAAGATTTTTTTTATTTAAATGATTCTATGCCATTCACCTTAGCACATCATATTTATATGCATTTAAAACATTTTTACTTTGAAGTTTCTCCTTGGTGAGATTACATTATCAAACTGTATAATAGATAAACACATAGATTTAGGAATCAGACCTGGTTTTAGCTCTTAGGTCTGTATAATACTATGTGTTTGAATTTGGACAACTCACCAGAATTTCTATATAGCAGGGGATTAATGGAAGTAGAGGTCTTGGTGCTAGAAGGCTTATACCAAGGCTGTGTTTGTGTAGTAAGAAAGATTTGCACTTAGGTTATATTTTTATTTAGAAGGACTAGATAAAAATTGATGACGATTATTGGGAAAGAAGCCACACACATGCACACAAACACACACACTTAAAAGACACTCTTTAGTACCACAACTGAAGAAGGTTTTTTTTACCTTTAATTTCCTCAGTTTTCTATAAAACAAAGACAATCATTCTTATCTTAGAGTTGGTAGAAAGACTAAATGGGATGGTATATAAAGTCTTTAACATAAAGCCTGATACATAATAAACAGCAGCTATTAAAAGTGTTTGTATGTATTTTCAGAAACAAGCATGAATAATATGATAGTAGTGTCATATTAGATATGATATTATTCTAGATATTAGTATCCTGGAATTGCTAGCTTAAAAATTATTAATGTTAAGTGCACTCATGACATATATTTTATATCTTATATAATATCCAATATACAAAATAAATACCTTAAAATGGCTCCAAAACCTTTATCAGAGGTATTTTAGATACTAGGTTAAATGGCTGCAATTATAAAAGAAATTCATTGTATGATTTTGTATTCATAATGTGTTTCATTAAATCAGAGATAAAGCAATAACTGAAATTAGAATTTAGTGGAAATCAAAGTGTGCTTGATGCATCAGAGCTTAGTCTACCTATTGAAATATTAAGTCAATTACACTATTTTAAGTCCTCTTTCTCATTTTCAAAGCATTATAGTATTTTTTTACTTCTATTAATTTGTGAAATCACTACAATATTTATGGAATTATTACAGAAATCATCTCAAAGATATCACTCATGCTATTCAATCAAAGTTTCAATGTGTTAACAATATATAGAGATAGTTCTATCCTGGATGCTTATCTATATGAGCATGTGTGTATGCAGCTATATATGTGTGCGCATTTATTTTCCTATCTACAATCTATCATATATGTTTTAAGTTATAATAATTTCATTTTGATTTGTTAGAAATAATAATAAAATATCAAAAATGTTATTTTATTTATGAATAAAATTAATCTTTTCTTTGGAAGAGCATATAATTATTGCTTAACAGTGATTAAAACCTTCAGGTGTGGAAGCAGATTCAAATCCTAACTGTGCCACTAACTATGCAACTTTGAACAAGTTCAACTACAAGATAGGCATAATAACACTAAATGAGAAAACAATTCACTTTAAACAATGTCTTCCAGACAATTAAGGGCCCAGTATTCAGTTGTTATTATACCCTAGAATAATGAAACCTTCCCAATTAAAAATTATTTTGAACTTGACCATCCTTTAAAGTGAATATATTTTTGTAAAATAACATGTTTATTACTTCAACCTTAATATCTGTACATTGTAAAAAATATAGATAACAAATACGAAATTAAAAAAAAAAATCATCAGTCTATCACCATTACCAGTTTGGAATATATTCATATTTCTCCAAAGACAGTCAAAACACCTGGAACTCCTAAATCTTCTGTGTCCTGGAGTCCAGCACAGATTGAGACCGAGAAAATCTGTTTAATAAACATGCCTGACAGAAACTAATTGAGAATCACTAAGAAACATTTTCTAATAGGTGTGTATCTGTGTATTTAACATTTCTTATGGCCCTTAGATATCTTCTACTCTATAAATCCTGTTTAATGACTTCATAGTGTTCCATTGTAAGAATGCATACTTTGTTGTGTGATATAAGTTTGTTTAAACTCACATATAATAATTTAAAGTTAACGGCTAAGGAGTACATACAAACAGAATGTCCTGCTTCAATTATTAGATAAGATCTGAGTATTATCGGCATCAATTTGCATGCAAACAGTAAATGAGCTTAGTTTGTTCTGTTAAGTAAGTTAAATGTATTCACTGAGCAATCTCATGTGTGTAATTAATTTGTCCAAAAAAAAAAAAAAGTTCAAGTGATCATAAATTCTGAATAAATGGAGTTGAGGTGAATGAGATGCTATTATTTGGTTTGTAAAAATGAATAGACTGCATTAAGTCTTAAATAAGCGTCTCCTGAACATGCTGGATTTCTTTAGGAGAGATCACCTTGTGTTATCAAGAAAAATGTGAGATACACTCTCCAGGAATGAAGACTAATGATTATTGGAATTTGTGCTAATGTATATTTTTAACATTAGACTTGAAATATCTTTCTATTTAGGTTGACAATTGATGCTGAGTGCCAATTACAGTTGCACAACTTCCCAATGGATGAACATTCCTGCCCCCTGGAGTTCTCTAGTTGTAAGTAATACATCCTTCTATAGTCTGCATCCCCTCTCAACAGCAGTCTGTGTGATTGTAGTGTCAGTTAATGGGGAGGGTCACCGAGACTTGGAAAATTGCATCAGTGGATGTTGTCTTAGAAGATTTTGACAATCCCTTTCATCACAACCCCAGCTTTTCTGTATTAGGGGGATTCCTGCAACAGAATGGACTTTTTAAATCAGGAATTACTGATAGGTTTTATAAACTGGTAGTGGTTGTCTGGAGTCCTATCTTGAGAAGGGTTGTAAGGCCAGGCCTGGACTCAAAAGAAAAGGTGCAATGGTTGATCATACATCTTTTGCGCTGACCCAGAAGAAGAGTGTGACAACACATTTGCTAGTTATTTATTTACTCCCTTTACACCTCAGGGAGCACAGAGACCCAAAGGTGTCATTTACTGATTTTAATTTCGGTATACCTGTTAAGGGTAGTAAAATTAAAAGTACCTCCTGTACGTGGAGTTCTAGTTATGTCTAGAATTAGTTATCCACCAATGAGTAAAAGACTGGGCTTTGGTGTCAGGTGGTTCTAGTTCAAATCCCAACTTCATCACTTCCAAACTATAGGCTTTGGTCAAATTACTCATCTGCTCAGGATGTTTGCTTTCTCAGGTGTCCAATAGAGATTGTAAAATCTGTCTCACAGAGACATTGTTTGATTGATATATATGTAAAATGCTCGGTAGGTTACTTAATACACATTAAATTATTTGCCATCAGGTTGATTGCCACTCACAGAAATCCTGTAGAACAGAGTGGAACTGCTCCATAGGGTTTCCAAGGCTATAATCTTTACAGAAGCACACTGCCACATCTTTCTCCCATGAAGAGGTTGGGGGGTTCAAACTGCCAACCTTTCAGTTAGCAGCCACACACTTTAACCACTGCACCATTCGGGATCCTCTAACACACACTAGACTCAGAACTCACTATTATTTTAGCTAATATTTATTATCAGATAATAGACTTTATAGAAAGAGGATCAATGATGTTGTTACACAGATAAAGCTATAGTAACCTTCATAGATGTTTCCTGCCTGAACCAAAAACAAACCTCAGTTATCCTAAAATGTTTTCCTTACTGTTTGTTCAGTATCCATGTTAGGTAGCTCATTTTTGGCCTGCCAATTGGGAATTAAAAACTGATTATGAATTTTAAGTGATGTTTTTATAAATATTATTTCCCAGAACACCAGGGAGAGTCATAATAACCAACTAAATAGTAATAACCATATTATTCCTATATCAATGACCAGAAAAGCAATCACCTGTTAATTATTTTATGAATCGCAGAGGGAATCAGAGGAAAAATATCACTGTACCTCATGTATATTTAGAAAAATTTCCATTATAATTCTCATTTTATATGTTTTATCTCATCCAAAAGTGGAATATATTTAATTATAATTTTAAGACCCCCAGAGCTTTACAAGATTAGATTTCTTTTCTTTTAATATTCCAAATGGATCATCAACAAAATTCTAGCTAATAGAACTGAGCAACATATCAAAAAAATAATTCACCATGATCAAGTGTGATTTATACCAGGTATGCAGGGATGGTTCAACATGAGGAAAACAGTCAATGTATTCCGACACATAAATAAAACAAAAGACAAGAACCACATGATCTTATCAATCAATGCAGAAAAAGGCATTCGACAAAGCTCAACACCCATTCATGATAAAAACTCTCAACAAAATAGGAATAGAAGGGAAATTCCTCAATATAATTAAGGGCATTTATACAAATCTAACAGCCAACATCATCCTAAATGGAGAGCCTTTGAAAGCATTCCCCTTGAGAACGGGAACCAGTCAAGGATGCCCTTTATCACCACTCTTATTCAACATTGTGCTGGAGGTCCTAGTCAGAGCAATTAGGCTAGGAAAAGAAATAAAGGGGATCCAGATTGGTAGGGAAGAAGTCAAAGTATCTCTATTTGCAGATGATATGATCTTATACACAGAAAACCCCAAAGAATCCACAAGAGAACTACTGGAACTAATAAAAGATTTCAGCAAACTTTCAGGATACAAGATAAACATACAAAAATTAGTTGGATTCCTTTACACCAACAAAGAGAACCTCAAAGAGGAAATCATAAAATTGATACCATTTACAATAGCCCCCAAGAAGATAAAACACTTAGGAATAAATCTAACCAGATACATAAAAGATCTATACGATGAAAACTACAAGACATTACTGTAAGAAACCAAAAGAGACCTGCATGAGTGGAAAAACATACCTTGCTCATGGATAGACAGACTCAACATTGTGAAAATGTCAGTTCTTCCCAAAGTGATCTACAGATACAATGCAATCCTGATCCAAATTCCACTGGCAGTTGTTAATGAGATGGAGAAAAAAATCACCACCTTCGTATGGAAAGGGAAGAGGCCCTGAATAAGCAAAGCATTACTCAAGAAGAAGAACAAAGTGGGAAGCCTCACACTACTTGATTTTAGAACCTATTATACTGCCATGGTAGTCAAAACATCCTGGTACTGGTACAACAACAGATACATAGACCAATGGAACAGAATTGAGAATCCAGACATGAATTCATCCACCTACGAGCAGCTGATATTTGACAAAGGCCCAAAGTCCATTCATCGGGGAAAAGACAGTCTCTTTAACAAACAGTGCTGGCAGAACTGGATATCCATCAGCAAAAAACTGAAACAAGACCCATACCTCACACCATGCACAAATACTAACTCAAAATGGATCAAACACTTAAATATAAAATCAAAAACAATAAAGATCATGGAAGAAAAAATAGGGACAACGCTAGGAGCCCTAACACATGGCATAAACATGACACGAACCATTAGTAACAATCCACAAGCATCAGAAGAGAGACTAGATAAATGGAAGCTCCTAAAAATCAAACACTTATGCTCATCAAAGTCTTCACCAAAAGAGTCAAAAGACAACCTACAGACTGGGAAAAAAATTTTGGCTACGACAAATCCAATCAGTGTCTAATCTCTAAAATCTACAAGATACTGCAAAACCTCAACAACAAAAAGACAACCCAATTAAAAAATGGGCAAAGGATATGAATAGGCACTTCGCCAAAGAAGATATTCAGGCAGCTAACAGACATATGAAAAAATACTCACGATCATTAGCCATTAGAGAAATGCAGATCAAAACTACAATGAGATATCATCTCACCCCAACAAGGCTAGCATTAATCCAAAAAACACAAAATAATGAATTCTAGAGATGTTGTGGAGAGACTGGAACACTTATACAGTGTTGGTGGGAATGTAAAATGGTACAACCACTTTGGAAATCGATTTGGCGCTTCCTTAAAAAGCTAGAAATAGAAGTACCATACGATTCAGCTATTCCACTCCTTGGAATATATCCTAGAGAAATAAGGGTCATCACACGAATAAATATATGCACACCCATGTTCATTGCAGCACTGTTCACAATAGCAAAAAGATGGAAACAACCTAGGTGCCCATCAACGGATGAATGGATAAACAAATTATGGTATATCCACACAATGGAATACTACGTATAGATGAAGAACAATAATGAAGCCGTGAAACATCTTATAACATGGAGGAAGCTGGAGGTCATTATGCTGAGTGAGTTTAGTCAGTCATGTAAGGATAGATATTGTATATGATCCCTAGTATAAGAACTCAATAAAAGGTTTAAACACAGAAGAAAACATTCTTTGATGGTTACGAGGGTGGGGAGGGAGGGTGAGGGTTATTCACTAAGTAGATAGTAGTTAAGAATCATAGTTGGCAAAGGGAAGGACAGCACACACTACAGGGGAAGTCAGAACAACTGGACTAAACCAAAGCTAAGAAGTTTCCTGAATACAATCAAATACTTTGAAGACAGAGTAGCAGGGATAGGGGGTCTGGGGACCATGCTTTCAGGGGACATCTAAGTCAATTGGCAGAACAAAGCTTATTTAGAAAATGTTCTGCATCCTACTTTGGTGAATGGCGTCTGGGGTCTTAAAAGCTTGCAAGCAACTATCTAAGATGCATCCATTGGTCCCAACCACCTGGAGTAAAGGAGAATGAAGAACACCAAAGACACAAGGAAAGTGTTAGCTCAAGAGACAGAAAGGGCCACATAAATGACAGACTTCATCATCCTGAGACCAGAAGAACTAGATGGTGCTCGGGTACCACCAATGATGGCCCTGACAGGGAACACAACAGAGTGTCCCAGATGGAGCAGGAGAAAGGTGGGGTGCAGAACTCAAATTCTAGTAAGCAAACCAGATTTAATGGTCTGACTGAGACTGGAGGAACCGCAGAAATCATGGCCCCTGGATTCTCTATCCACCCAGAACTAAAACAATTTCCCAGGTCAACTCTTCAGGCAGGGATGGGACTGGACTGTGGGACATAAAGTGATACTCGTGAGGAGTGTGCCTCTTAGCTCAAGTAGATGCAAGAGACTAAACGGGCAGCTTCTGTCTGGAGGTGAGATGGGAAGGCAGAGATGGTTAAGAGCTGGTTGAATGGACATGAGGAATCAGGGGTGGAAAGGAGGAGTGTGCTGTCACAGTATGGGGAGAGCAATTAGAGTCACATAACAATGTATATATAAATTTTTGTATGGGAAAAAAAAATCCAAGTGGGTCTAGTCCTCCTCTGACTCAGGTAAAACTAAAAATCTTGTGATTTCTGTGCCAAATGTCACCAGTCAACTAAGTCCTCTAAACTCAACCACAACTTAACATTACTATTGCTATCAAAACAATTCATTCACCAACATACTCTCCATAAAAACATTTCTTAATTTCATCATTCTTTTCCTCAGTTTTCACTGCTTCTCATAGTTCTCTGGAGAACCACCTTCTTTTTTTCTGCCATCTTAATTAATAAACATGAAATAGCCAGAGAATTGAACCAAAAGGAAAGAAAAGGAGGAAACCTAAGGGATCTTACCTCAAGTAGCCAATCAGTCCTCATAATCAATTATTCCTTTACATAGTATTCTTAGTAGACAAATAGTTGAGATGATTTGTAGTTTTTTATTTAGATTTTCTTTTTACTTGAAAAGTTTCATTCTACAGTTTATTTAATAATAAGCTTGATAATAATGTTTACTCACTCTACAAATGTGCATTGAAACTCAAGTACATGATTATCGTTCTCATAAGGAAACAAATGATCAAAAAAAAAACACAAAAATTAAGAAACCTTTCCAGGATATTATGGCAAAGAAATTGAACTAGTAACCACTAGAGTGTCCCACCTCTTAGTGTGCTGTCTCTTCCATGAAGCTTTTCTGGTCTCCAGGATGAACATGATTCACCCACTCTGTCTCCCTAGGGCTTATTGATATCTTTCAAAGGTCTTGCTATAGTCTATTATCAGATAATAATAACCATTAATAAAATAAGAGTTATTTGTTATTGAGTCTTATAGAGTGTCAGGTAGTATACTAAGCATTTCTACTTACTGCTTTTAATTGCAAATTTCTATATACACTAAAATGGAGTCCCAACAAATTGAGAGAGAAAATAATGTAAATAGTTGAGGTTATTTTTTTCAGCCATCTTCCACTCCAGGAGCATACCCTGGAGAAGAATTTGAGTCTGCTTTTTTCTCATTATTTTCTGTTTCTGCGTCACTTTCAAAATCTTGCCATACTGACTTCCATTCACAATGAAACTATATCATGCATATCTACTATTTATTGTATACTGTTTATTTTTTATACATTGCCCCGACAATGTCAAGTATGCATATAGTACCTGAAAAGCTGTGTATTAACAGATCTCCTATGTAATTTCAGGGTTTCTCAAGGGTGATTTTGACCTTCAGACTTTAGACTTTAACTTCCCATTGAGATGTGATGCCATTGTATTTATTTCCCTTACTGTAATGTTCTTTAATTCATAATTATTAGATGTTCATCTATTTCATAACTTTAGAGCTCTCAGTACTTACCTCAGTGTCTTTTTCATGGAAGGTGGTTGCTACATAAGATCAATGGTAATAATTTTAATAGTGTGTTTCTCATCTCATGGCAGATGGCTATCCCCGTGAAGAAATTGTCTATCAATGGAAGCGCAGTTCTGTTGAAGTGGGTGACACAAGATCCTGGAGGCTTTATCAGTTTTCATTTGTTGGACTGAGAAATACCACTGAGGTAGTGAAGACGACTTCTGGTAAGATATGCTTGAAAAGAATTTTGAGTGATCTTTCCAGAGTTAAAATTCTGGTATATGTGATTGGGAAGACTTCAATACCTGTCTGCAAATTATATTCATAAGATTAAATGAAGTGTTTTAATTTCCTAGAGAAACTTTAGGTTGTCATTCTAGTAAAATAGATTAAGGGAAATGCATTTTATCAATTTGAATCAAATTAGATTCAAGTTGGATTAGAAAATTATTGTTTAACTTCTTTAAATAAAAAATGAGTAGCAATTGTTAAAAGATTTGTTAGAACATGAGTTGGCCAGTATAGAGTTAATGTTTTCTTTTAGAGATCAATACAGTAACATTTAAAATAATCACATAGGGATAATGAACTTTCCATAAATGCAAAAAACTGATCACAGTGAATATGAACAATTCTCCATTCAGTAACTTAATATTATGATGCTCAAGCTGACTTCATCAGTGGGTAAGAGATGAGACTTAGGTGTCAGACAGACCTGGGTTCAAATTCCAGCTCCATCAGTTACTAGCTATAGATATAGAGCAAGGTACTGAATCTTTTGTGGGATCAGCACTCCTAAATACCCAGTGTGGATAGAGACACCTATATTGCAAGTGTATTGTGTTTATGGAAAAAAAATAAATTGCTTAGAATGATACCTGACTCAATAAATACTGGCTCTTATTTATATTAGTTATAATTATCAATTATGCATGGGGTCTAATGTGGTCTGGAATTTAGATTTTTTTCAAGAGAAGCTAAAGATCTGTATTTTTATATTAAATCTCATGATTTTTAATGGGCTTAATTCAGTTGATCGAAAATTCTGTATTGGCAAAGTTAAACATGTTCCCAGACCAGATTTGTCTCAGAGGTGACTGGTTTGAAACCTCTGCAATGCTGAGTACACACTCCATGAAGATTACTTTAGCTACTTCTTTAAAAATTATGTGAATTTAAATACATCCCAATTTCAAATTTAAACATGGTGTTGTCAGCTTAGTGTCTATGAAGGTGTGTCTTTTAAAATATTGAGTCATGTATTGAGTCATTTTCTGTTGATTTACCTACACATATCTGCTTTTGTTGTTTTTTTTTTCCCCCTAAAATACATAGGAAGTATTTTTGTGTTGTCTAATTAGGAATAAGCTTTTATTCTATTCTACAAAGAGAAACAAAATTAAGGATCTACACAAAGATAGAAATTTAAGATTCTACCTGCATATACACCATAATTTAAATCAAAAAGTTATCTTCACCTAACACTCTTTTTAACATTTGAAAATTTATCCTAAAGGCTATCTTACTTTACAAAAAGAATCTGAAAGAAGGTCAAAGTAATACTCAAGTACACTTTTGAAAACTAGCCTTCTGTTCCCATATCCATAAGAAATCCTGGCCATTAAGAACTAGACTACTCTTTTATTTAGCTCAAATTTCCATCCATGAAAGAAAGAACATGTGTACAAATATTCTCCAGTTCTGCCTGCTTCCAGAAGGAGAAACTGGGCAGTAAGTTCTGATGTATATTGATATTTCTATACTGACTAACATGTATTTTTACTGTTATAAGGATATATGTAACACAAAATTTACCAACTCAATGTTTTTCATGTGTACAACTAGCATGTATTTTGTTTAGTAATTTTGAGACAAAAGTGTCATCAAGACCAAATAGGGGAAGGGAGACGACTTTACATCACAGATCCTAATATTATGTCCTCCCTAATGACTCATATTAAGAAAGATCTAGGACATTTAATGTCTATTAAGAGATATTTCATGAAGTAAATTGTCTACCTGCTTAAAGCATGGCAAGGAGAATTACCAAGGTTACCAAGGCTATTGAGCTTACAGTAAAAAGCATCAGCAAACAAAAACTGCATTTGATAAGATACTAGGTTTGTTACTGAGTGAATCAAAAAACCAAACCCATTTCCATCCAGTTGATCCTGACTCATAGCGACCCTACAGGACAGAGTAGAACTGCCCCATAGGATTTTCAAGCTATAATTTTTTCAGAAGCAGACTGCCACTTTTCTCCCACTGAGCAGCTGGTGGGTTCAAACTGCCTGTTATTTAACCACGGCACCACCAGGGTTCCTTTGTTATTGAGTAACATCATTAAATTAATCTCTTCAACTCCTTTGGAAATTTTAATATGGTGTTTAGCCTTCCATATTGGTCTTCTTGTCCACTTCTTGCTGATTTGCATTTTGTTCTTAAAACCATTCAGTTTGCCTCTGTAAAGGGAGAAGGGCTGAACTGAAAATTAGCACTGGTACTGAGAGGCAGCTTGGTTCTCGTGACAGTTAATTCTGTAATGCTTAGAAGTTTCTACTTGATCTTTTGTTTCTGTTGCTGTTCCTATCTTCAAATCATAGCTCCATAATTAGTTAACATCTGTAAGAAAGTTATGTTAACAATGCTCTTTGAAAATCATCAGAAGTTCACATTTTTATTCCTTTTAGATCTTAACCATTTTGTATTATAGTATGGTTTTCTCCTAAACTTAAAGTAAATGTATCCCCCTTTAAGAATCCTTCTGTTGTAGCTGGGGAAGAATATTGCCTAAAATTTAGCATAGTTTAGTGTAGGGTTTTCTTCCCTTCATTCATTCAAGCCCACATTTCACGATTTTGTTATATCCAAGTGGTGCCTACACTGTTGCTTTCTTAATATTTTTTCATGAAACTGATTTATTGACTTTAGTAAAATGGATGTGTTTTAAAAAGGAAAGTTCGTATTAGGACCATAATTGAAAAAAAATAATCATTTGGCATAAATAGAAGTTGCCATAAAAGTATAATGAAAACCAAACAAATGCTCTGAAATTTTAAGTGGATATATTTGCTCCCCAGGCTCTGAGTATGTTGAGTACGAGAGGTATTAGGGAGATAATAAAGTGAAACTAGCATCAAAGTAAAACATACTTCTTGATGTAAACAGAAAGATAGAAGGAACATTTCTCAGAAAATAATTTTCTCACCAAATATTTAGTAATCCTTTCTTCCACTCTCTAAATTATCTCCTTTACCACTGGTGGTAACCATTACCACACTTGAGAAATGTATTGTTTTGGTTGTAGATTCGTAAGACTTGGAGAATACTTTTAAATCACAGTCAATATATGCAAACAGAGTCTGCATCCGCCATGTCTCTCCTCAAACCATCATCTCTTCCTGATTGCTCTATTTCTGGAAGTAGCATCATCATTGTCCCAGTGAGCCAGGAGTGAGCACTCAGAGACTCATGCCTCTGCCTCCCACATCTGATGAATCATGAAGGCACTTATGCCTGGAAAATATCTTGTGTAACAGTGTCCTCTTTTCAGTTGCCATCACCACTGTCCTAGTTCTGAATTTTGTGTCTTCTCATTTGGACTGTGTCAGTAGCCTATTAAGTTGCATCCCTGCTGTCAGTCTCCATTCTACAATCTGTCCTTTGCACATTACTCAGAAAAAATTAAAACTTACTGAGTATTAACTACATGCACGGTGGCAAGCATTTTATGTAAATGACTTACTTTGATTCTCATATTTACTGTCATCAGCACTGATGGTACCACTGCTGATGAGGAAACTGAGACTTTGAGGGGTTCATTGACTTGCAGGCATTGAATGTAGGAGATAGAACATGAACATAAGTGGTCTACTCCCAGAGCTCATACTCTTAATCACTCACTACACTATTTTTTATCCCGTTGTGGCCCAATAGGTCCTTGTGAAGCACAACTTTCAACTTTCAAGACATCTCAAGAATTCAGTAGATTCTAGTTGCCCCACTCCCCCAACCCACTACCCCTCCTCCAAAAGTAAGAAAAATCCCAGAGGTGCCCAAGAAGAAAGGCCTGGTGATCTATTTCCGAAAAATCAGCCATTGAAAACCTTGTGGAGAGGTTCTATTCTGACACGTATGGGATTGCCATGAGTCAGAATTGACTCTCTGACAACTATTTTTTAAATTGTTGTTATTACTCTTAATTTGTAAATGATCCAATGTGTCGCTTATATATTAGGAACAATAATAATAATAAAATCAATTCCGTTTGCCTCCTTAAAGGGAGAAAGGTTGAACTAAAAATTAGCATCGATACTGAGAGGCAGCTTGGTTATTCTGACAGTTAATTTTGTAAATTTCTTCTTACTTTCCTCCACTGGGATTCATAGCAGGATTTTAAAATCACTAGCACAATGGATAAAGTCTATGCTCATTGTGTGATTTCTAAAATATCTGTTAAAAAACCTATAGGACAGAGTAGAACTGCCTTTTGGTTAACAGCCAAGCTCTTAACCACTACACCACCAGGGTTCTGAAATAAATATAATCCATGCTATATCTTCAAACAGTGCCCATTTTTACAGAACCATACCCTTTCCCTTGGCTGAGGTTTTCTGGATAGTTTGCACCTACTTCATGTCTTTGTTCATTTTGATGCCTTATTTTCATTATTTAATACCAAGGTCAAGTCCAGCCTTCTCTCATGAAGCCTCTTCTGCCTACATCAGTGTGTATTTACTGATTTACTGGTCAAATAATTCTCTAAATAGAAAAATAAAAATAACTCCCAGTTTCCAGACTGTGTTTTACTTTAGATGTTTTTGGTAAACCAAGAGAGAAATCTTTTTAAGCTCAGAAGAACACATTTAAGAATTTACTCATCATTGAGGTGAGCTATTTTGGAAGGGGAAAAATAAAAAAAGATACAAGTTAACGATTCTTTTTTTCATTGAAGAGGTTGAAAGGAAAATAAAATCCTAAATGATAGGAGAACATTAATAAATATAGCATCAATCCTGCAGTTACTTTTTGAGTCACAGTAACTTGTGAGCCTATTTTAGTCAATAATAAACTTTTCAAACTACTTGAAGCAATGTAATATCTTAAAATAAATCAGTGGATGACTGCACAGTAATAGATTTTTATTTTATTTTTAAGCTTCAGTTTAGAAAATATAACTCTTGATATCTGGAGAGAAAAGTGTGTGAGTTATGTAAAGAGATCT